CAAAGAAAGTTGCTTGAGAGTGATACACTTTACAATGAACTGCGGTGGTCTACTTGAATCGTACAACTCACAACAACATTAATAACCAAAACAAAATGGAGGACAACTGCAGCAACATTGTGTGGCGCCGACATATAAAAATATAACATACCTCGAGGTTATCATAGCAAACACCAATGAGCTGTACAACAAACGAACTTCCTTGTAAACCCTGAACCATGTTCATGCCATGCATACAATCCTCAGAAAACATTTCATGAGCACATGTCGAATATACAACATCGTATCCTGACCAATCGGCCAAATATACCTCTTTCACGGCATTTAAATGTCCTGGTTTACCGATTCTCTTTCGTACTCGTACATCATGAGAGATWTTATCACAGTTAAGCCATGTCATACAGCCAATCCATCCCGGCATACTAAACTCGCCGAACGGGCATTTTTCACATGTATCGTTCAGAGAATAATAATTAGCCGGGCAGCCCRGTAATGGMATATTTTGTGCAGTTTTTTTGGATGTCCACTGTAATAAAATGGTGSTKATWTGGTCATAAGTGAAGAAAAGGAGGCCAAATGGAAACAAAACTACAAGAACGAAGAATTCTATCATTCTCCTTGAATCCGCCATGTTTGTTTTGGTTGACCGCGTAGGACTGGTAGCAACACTCAATTTACATATGGTTCCCTGTTTAACTTTCTCATTTTTTTTTCTTTTTTCCCCTTTCATGCCAGGAGCCCAAACCATGTTTTTTGCACATTCATTTTTTTATTACGTCGTATTTCTTTGATCATAGCCGGTATGATCTTCGCATATTTACAAACAAATTGGTGGGGGAAAACAAACTGCAAAAAACATCGATGAACGATTGAACCAGGTGTCGCTCGCTACAGCAGATCCTGGTCCGCCGGCATTGCTTTTTCCCAWGTTCAGTATACTSCATACATTTTTACAAGCTGTTTCCTAGCTATCTATGTTTTCTATCCTTATTTTTCTCTACGAAACAAAAAAATTGAATATTTATAGTTATAGTTACCCGAAGGTAAATGCAAAAATGCGATATGCAATGGATAATATTCATACTATGAAAGAAAAAAACATTTTCAATAGCTAATCTAAGACATTTTGAATGTTAATGTTAAAACGAGTACCGGGTGCATTGTATGAACTGTTTTTATTGGAGCCTACCAAAATGGTAACTCGAAATGTAAGCAAYTGAGTATTTTAGGTGAAAACTATCAACCTCTACGGATATTGATATTTTATATGCATTAGATGTATTACTTATGAAAAAAACACCTTGTACTGAGTCCTAGTAAAATATAATATTCGTTATTTAAACAGGCGACGCACACTCMATCCATTAACATTGCTCACCTGTGAAGACACATAAAACCGCAAAATCATTCGCATAAACATGTTTTTTAAATTCCCGGGTAAAATGTCAGTTAAGATCAACAATATCAAATCAGATGTTACTTATTGCTGACATTGTAAAAAAGTTTTGCAACTTCGTGTGGGATTTTTTCAGTAAAAATAATAAAATGTGATGTCGCAAACACTAATTAGATTGACTAAATGTATGGTCAGCTTCAAATATAATCAAGTATTGCACACTAGATGACAATCATTTCTATGTGTTCTACTTGTCAAAGGCATATTACCTCTTCTTAAAGCACTCTTATTCGTCAGTGAACTGTAGACGKTTAGACAGAATCTCACTCTCTCGATATTTGTCACAATGGTGAAAATTCAATTCATGGTTCTTTTTTACCAATTTTATCTGTTCACCATTGCCTTTGGTTCTGCGCCATCTAAAGAGTGTTCCTCTTTGGAAGTGGAGTTGTCAAAACCTGGTGGCAACTGTATAATGATCAATACGACTTCGTCGGAAACAGAAAAAGGCARKTYAGACCCAATRGTGTTTATTAATGTCGATTGCCCGGACCACATTCAAAGTTATTGGCTTAATCTACCACCATTTGCCTTTAAAAACGCATCGAATCGCAACCAAACCAGACCCTTTGGTGCTTTTGTTGATATCATCCAAACCTCGCTAACCGTTTGCTGCACAAATGCAAAAGAAAGACATTTTTCGCCGAATATTACCTTCGACGACCTGCCCACCAAGAGCATCAAAGAACTTCATCAGAAAATATCAAGCATGAAAGTATCAGGCTCTAAGAATTACATGGCAATGCCGSTGAATGTTGACAAGTCGAAAAAGTATCTTGGAAAGTTGVATTCGTTGCCTGTCATGGTGTCCCCAGCAGACGTGGTTCTTGTCAAGAAGTCTACTTTTGAAACGAGTGAAAACAACAAACTCTGGCAATCAATTCAGGGTGTGTTTTTAGCGATCTTGCTGGCTGTTCTCCTTTCCTTGGTTGCAGGTGTTTGCATTTGGGCGTTGGTAAGGATACTTCTTCCTCGTTAAATTCATTCCCTCTTTTCTTTCTACCAGTTCCTTTTTTTACACTTCTTCTCAGTCTCTTCCCCTCACCCAAATCGCCCTACTATATTCTCTTTTTTAGCATATATGTCTTATAAAATAACAAGAATTATCGATATATATTAATGTAAAATATAATAATACACAAACGTTGTCGTTCTAAAACAGAAACAGTTGTGTAAAAAGATGAATTTAATAACGTAAAAAAGTAGGTGAAACAACTTACTTTAATATATAATATAATACGTTAATATAATTACGTTAATATATATAAAATAAAATAGAATATTTGTAAGTTATTACAAAAGGTATATAACATTTTTTTWAAAAAAACATCATCTTCAGTGATATTGTTTTTTCTTTTTAACTGCCCTATTGCACTGTAGTGAAAAATTCTCCAGGGTGTTTTATAAATAGGTGTGACGTTTTTTTAAATAAGTGTGTATATATTTCTAATTATTTCCTTCATTTCACCTTTCGTTTCCTTAATTAATGTATTTTTTCTTTGCGGACTCGACTTAATCTAATAACGACTTTTTTTGCAAAGAGCAACACGAACCTCCACAACTTCCCCAAAATATATAAACATAGCAGTTAACTTATCAACAACAATTATATCAAATTCATACGACAGGAAACAAGAAACAACCCTGACGAATTCCCAAGATCCTTTGCTCGAGGAACATCTGAGGGATTTTGGTGGGCGTTTGTTACCATGACAACAGTAGGGTAAGTAATAACTATGTATATTAGCCAATGAAGTTATTGTCTGGAGTTTAGAATTAACAACTAAGTACTGCTTATATAAACACAGTAAATTAAACATTCGTTTTGAGATTAGCATTAATTGTGAATATTTGTTCAGAGCTGTTAGTCGCATCTAATCGCCATGGTTACCATCAAGCATAACAAGTATACTGGGCGGAATTAAGGAAGTTTCTTTTCAAAAAACAATAATAGCTTTTTCCCCACTACATTGACACAAATGTTGTATCCTTGATTAGGATGATATAGGTGAATTTATAAAATAAAAGACATAATTCTAAGTTACAACAGCTACAGGACATACGAGCATATTATATTGCCAGCTTTTTTGATATTAAATATCTGTAGCTATGGAGATCGCACACCTAAGTCTCTGTTTGGACGTCTATTTGGTATTGTTTGGATTGTATTTGGTATTTCGTTGTTTTCTATCGTGACTGCGGCGATGACCTCTGGATTAATGGCTTCCCTTGGCAAGGAAGACTTGGTGAAAATCAGGGGAAAAGACGTAAGTGCTACAATCACATATAAATGTACGCTGAATCGTAACTCGTCCTTTTATGTTTAAGCTGATAGGACTGTTTCTTCACTGTTTTGTTTCCTGCACTTTTTCTGACATTGTTGAGGATTTTTTACTATTTACTTTCAGATATAGTGATATATCAAGTGTTTGTACTGGATCATTTTTGTTGACTTTTCAGGTCGCTGTTTTGGAGGGCAGCCCCTCTGTCAGTAAAGCAATAAAAGCATTTGCCATTCCTAAGGGTAAGAAAAAACACTTCTATCACATCCTTCACCTGTTTAAAGAACGCTTTGCAATGTTTACCGATTCTTTTAGAAAATGTAGATTCAGTGATCAAGATTGATTGATTCGCTGTTTGTTTGATGGATTGATCAATTGGTTCATTTGTATAGTTTATTCAGACCTCGAGTCCATGAGAAAAGCGTTGTTGGCAGAAGAGGTGGAAGCGATTCTTGTAGATATGTTCACAGGTTTCTACTTGCTTCAACACTCGAAGGACAAACTTCACGTMGGMAACCTTTTGGAAAACCCTCAGTACTTTGGAATCGTATTTTGGAAAAAAACAGACAATACCAATTACGAWAACCCATTTCCATCGACTACAACAGACTGCCTCAAAGAACTACTCCAAAATCATGAACGAGATGTTTATAAGGTGATGGACAAGTACTTTGAAAGAACCAAAAAGGTGAGTTAACATAATCAACTCCTTTAGTGTTGATAGAAGCTTATAGATTTTTGCGCAGTTTACGCCAGGGACGCGGTAATTCGTTGTTTTCCCAATGCAATGCCAATTCAATACTTCTTTTAATAAGAATGCGTATTCGCATGCAAATATGTATTTACAGGCGGAGATTGTGTTTACCTTGTAATCGGCCGTGTACAAATAGCGTTATTATGTTGCGCGAATCTTGYGTTTTTACCCTGGCCAACTGATATTTTACTCTGGTAACACTGACATATGTCCTCATATTCACCTACAGAAAGTGAAACCCAAAGAAAACGTTGGTTTGTTCTCAATGAATTCTCCATTCTTCAAACCTGTCTTCGTTGTCTTGGGTGTACTTTGTGGCTTAATACTTGTCTTTGCSATGGTCGAAGTACTGATCAATCGTACAAAAATGGCCGATGATCAAATCAAAGGTGAAACAGCAATCCACCGAAAAGAAGGTGAGTTTCAGTCCACGAAGTCCCTGTGAAAAGTTTAGTATATTTACCGATCTCTACCTTACATGTATCTTATTATCTCGACGTCCATCACCCAGAGCAACAAATTCTACAATCTCGTTCCAGAGCCCGCGTTCCTCTTGGCCTGAGGGCGCGAGCAACCACGAACTCTGGCCTAATCCATATTTTGCGCGCTTTTCATTGGTCGATAGAATTTCCTCATTACGAATGCGGACGTCTCCGGAAGTAAAATTTGACCAATCATAGTTGCGAAAAACAGCGCCAAAATTCGGGCGCGA